TTTAGGAGGGAGACTCCCTATTTAGGAGGGAGACTCTCTATTTAGGAGGGAGACTCCCTATTTAGGAGGGAGACTCTCTATTTAGGAGGGAGACTCCCTATTTAGGAGGGAGACTCTCTATTTAGGAGGGAGACTCCCTATTTAGGAGGGAGACTCTCTATTTAGGAGGGAGACTCCCTATTTAGGAGGGAGACTCTCTATTTAGGAGGGAGACTCTCTATTTAGGAGGGAGACTCTCTATTTAGGAGGGAGACTCCTGATTTTGGACCCTTAAATTTAGTACAACCAGTGAATTTCCTAACTATTCCTGTATTCTCAGATCTAATGATTTCATCTGAGAAAACAACTCAAAATATGTCTTTTATATATATATATAATTGTTTTCTCACACGTTGGCAAGTATGTGACATCTACACTTTCACAATCCTTGATTTGCAATAAAGTTAGATTTTTGTCCTTAGAAAGAAATCGTCTCTTGATCAATGAATGGCTCTATTTAAAACCTTTGGTTCCCTGCGGTTTATTCCAGTTTTCTCACTGCTGTTACACTGTATCTTGTTTCAATATTTTGTCTGTTTTGATTCAACTTAAACACGAACATTCAATTTTTTTTATAACAAATACTGCTGTGAAGCTCCTTCTAGCTTTTCTGGTCTGTGTGTCCCATCCCTCCACCATCATTTACCAACTTGCTCCGAAAAATGTCTATTATAGCTTAATTTCAGAGAATTCAGAGGTTTCTGTAATCATTATGATTTTCCCAAATTTCAAATTGCCCAGGGCACAAGTGGAATAGGTACAAGTGTATAACCGTTCCTAAATACTTCAAACACTGCCTGATAGAAGTGCTGAATGGCTATCACACCCAGGTCTCATTTTATTTCAAAGCCAGAAATAAAGATAATAACAGGTTATTAGTCAAATATTCCAAAGACGGATTTTACCAAACATCTTTACACTAACACATATTTTTGTAGGCTCTGAAAGTAAATGTATCAATTATTTTTACCGATTTTTTTTATCTAAAGGACATTTGTTAAAACATGAAGTATTTTCTTAAGATATACAATTGTAATTAGCTAGGGAATTCATTTTGACCTGCCGCAGTAGATTTTGTTGCTATTTTGCTAAATTTTAACACGTAAAATGAGCCCTATACTGGAGGTTAGAAACGGTCAAGCCCTTGTAGTGACACCCACTTACATGTACTCCGCCACGATGGTCTCAACAGGCTCCAGACTTCCATAAGGAAGTAGATACAAGTTACACATAGCATCCATTTCATCCCAATCAATTACAAGCTTATATCACCACACAAACATTTATCAGTCTCCAATCCCGAAACTGACAACAATGAATTAACGAGGGCATGTCTCACGTATACCCCCTTCCACAGTGATACAGCCATAAACACTAGACCATACCTGTCTAGTTTGGCTTGTATAATTAAACTTCTAACCACACTTAAGTCACAATCATTTCCTATGTGGTCAAGATATTGGGGGGTCAAGTTCAGCTGGACACTCTCAATTACCCCTCACAACTGCTATACATATAACTATATACACTCTATGTATACACCCACATCCCCTTGAGCCTCCCAAACCATCCCCCTAACCCCAGCGAGCTCAACACAAAATTGACACATTATTTTATCAGAAATAATTTCAAATCTGTTGAAATAATTAAAGGATTAAAATATAAATGTTTTTCCCTAATTATACAAAATACTAGTGATCATGATACAACATCATGAAAAAACATTATATTGCAAATATGTTTAAAATCAATTATTTTTTGAAAAGGCATCTTGGACTTGTCAAGCTGACAATACAAGCTTCCAACCCATGGGGCCTGGGGCAATTGTTCAAAGCTTTGTCAACTTAACAGAATATTGTAAATTTAAAAAAAAAAGGAAAAGGTTTTTTTCTTATTGTCTTCTGGGTTTTCAGCTTACAGTTATATCAAAATGATTCTCTCCAGGTGTTGTTTGAAGTTATGGATATTAACATTTATTTAGGACAAATCCAAGGTGAAATATTTTATAAATTGCCGTTGAGTGAATCAGTTGAGTGAATCAGACATGAATATACGAGGTCTGTATAGGTGTGTACCACTGACCCAGATATCTCTACCTGTATTACCCAAATTCTTAAAATGAACTCGTCTTGTCTTTGATTCAGATTCAACCAATGCGAGTAAGAGGGTAATATCAAGATACAGAATTTATTTTTCATTTTCCTTCCTTGTTTTAATGCATTTAATGCACTCTCCCCACAATATAATAGCATCAGACTTATAGTGACAATGGTCTCCATATCTCAAACTCTTCACTTGAAGTTCTAAGACAAGTGTACATTAATATCAGACTTATAGTGACAATGGTCTCCATATCTCAAACTCTTCATTTGAAGTTCTAAGACAAGTGTACATTAATATCAGACTTATAGTGACAGTGGTCTCCATATCTCAAACTCTTCACTTTAAGTTCTAAGACAAGTGTACATTAATATCAGACTTCACACATATTGATCAGGATACACTTGTAGACCTTTCTCTCATACCCGACAGAATTACCTCCCCTGATCTCCGCTTATATCAATGCAATTTGATTCATAACAATTCTTGCAAACAGCCGTCCTTTCTCCATGCATGGCCAATTAAAATTTCTATTCAGCCAAATTTTTTTTCTTAAATTTCTGAAACATTTAAGATTTTCGGGATTTGACAGTCCTGTTTTTTAAGTTTAAAACTTTTCACATCATATGCCCAGGAAATTTTCCAAAAACTTACAAAATATTGATAACAAATTCAAATAATTTTTCGTGTTTGCTTCCCTATGCTTCAACCATAACATGTTCTTTGGTGTTAGGAAGCAGACTTAGGCCTACGAGGTAAACTCACTGCCGTTGTAAATCTCAAATTCACTTCAAATATTTTTTCGACTACTGGTACACAACCAGGCCAAGCAAAAGTTCTGAAGAGTAAGATCAAAATAAGGATGTGTGCTTCTGGTTAAACAAAACCTACAAGTTCTTAAATAATATCAAATCTGAAATATTGGAAAATCTTTCAAGAGGCATCCATGTCAAATTAAATATTACACTTCCTCAATCTTTCCACTTTTTTTAAAATATATAAACTTGATCTATTTTACAACAATTATGAAACAAGTTATTACTACTTATATCAATCACTTTTGTTGGCTCGGATGTCAGCGTGCTGGGGGTCTTAATGTGGGAGAAACTCCATGTGGTGAACCCATACCTTTTCATGTCCGATCGGGGAATCGAACCCCGGCCGCCTTGGTGAAAGGCGAGTGCGATATCTACTGTAACTCGACCACCCTTTGTCAGGTTTTTTTTCCATTTTGTTATAAGGGATGTTGATAATGTACTGGTATATAATACATTGTTAGGCCAAGCTTGACCTACCATTAGCACTAAACAAATATATATATATGTGTGTTTCTTATTCTCTTATATACCTTGCAAAAATTCCTCCCTACCTGAAACATTGTACGGTCAAATTAAGCCATTTGAATTAGTAAGATCCACTCACTTAGAATCACTTAAGTGCATTTTAAGAAAGCACTATACAATTTGAAAAATAGTTCTAAAATTATTACAAATTACATTCATTTATTCAACAACTTATTTATGTTGTTCATGATAATGACTGTATTGTGCAAAATTAGAACAAGAGGCCCAATGGGCCTGCATCGCTCACCTGGTATAAATCTCACACCTGTAACCTTAAAAGTGATCTAAAATAAAGTTACAGGCAAATTAAGTCATTTTGTTGAACAATTTTATAGCCTTTCATCTCAGGATGCAACTTGCAAAGTATCAACATCCTGGGACCCATGGTTATTCAGAAGAGGTTGTTTAAAGATTTTAAACAAATTTGACCCCTGTGACCTTGAATATAAGTCAAAGTCATTCACTTTAACAAACATAGTAGTCCTTGATCCCAGCATGCTACTGACTAAATATCAACATCCTGAGCCTTTTGGTTATTCAGACCAAGTTGTTAAAATATTTTGAACATATTTGCCCCTTGTGACCTTGAATATGATTTAAGGTCATCCATTTAAACAAACTTAGTAGCCCTTGATCCTAGTATGCTACTGACTAAATATCATCACCCTTGGCATTTTGGTTATTCAGAAGAAGTTGTTTAATGTTTTTCACATATTTGACCCCTGTGACCTTGAATACAGGTGAAGGTCATTCATTTGAACAAACTTGATAGCCCTTTACACCAGCATGCTACTGGCCAAATATCATCACCCTGGGCATTTTGGTTATTCGGAAGAAGTTGTTTAAAGTTTTTAACATATTTGTCCCCAGTGACCTTGAAAATGGGAGAAGGTCATTAATTTTAACAAACTTTGTAGCCCTTCATCTCAGTTTGCTTCTGGCCAAATATTATCACCCTAGGCCTTTCGTTTCGCGCCACGGCATAAGCTCACTTGGCACTTTGTGCCAGGTGAGCTAAAAATGTGTTTTGTTACCTACCTACCCACACTCAAAATCATAATGGAATAGCTATAGGCATCAAGCATCATAAAGGAAACAACGAGTGACCCTTCCAAAGCTTCATGTGCCAATTGTTTATGACATGACTTTGTCGGTACCGCAGTACCAACAAGAAAACACCTAGCTAACTTGGAACACGTTTCAAACTTTTACCCTATTTTCTCTTTGTCCTCTTCTGCAAGTAGGAGGCAACCTACCCGAGCTAGCATAGAGATTCAGACTAACTGAAAAGTTATAGAATCAATATCTTATTTCATGAGACTTTAAAAAATAAACATTATTCCCCGAGTGTTCCAGTTCAAACAGATAAATATAAGTGGATAACATCTCGGTGAATGACTGGTGTCCTTTCTGTGAAGCTGACAGTAACACATGACGATCCTTTCACCTATAAGAGAATTTCTAAATTACAATAACTTTCAAAAATTCTTTACAATAGTCGACAAAAAATGGACTTACCGTTTGGTCTGAAAGTGGTCACTCTCATCCTCCGTCATCTGCTTGACCATGCGTACAACAGGTGAAGGTGGCGGCTCGTCTGGAGAGGGTGGCACAAGTTCTCTCCCTTGTTGGACTCTTCCCTGCCTCATTGAAACCGTCCCTGGTCCCACAACATTCTCATAGATCGACACGCCGCCCACATTTTCGTACAGTGGCGGGTCTTCTGGCAGGGGAGCAGACTGTTCCGTGCTGGTTACCTTCACCTCAATTACCTCTTCTTCGACCTCTGTATTTGGAACATGTGGTGGTGGTGGTGGCGGTGACGGGGGAGAGGGCAGTTCTTCTGAAGACAAATTCGGTGGTGAGGACTTGATGACCTGTCCAAGGGCTCGACTATAGGGAGGAGGAGGGGTTTCTGGGACTGGATACGGGGGAGGGGGAGGCCGTTCCGACAATTCAACGTCCAAGGAAGTGTCATCAGTTATCGACTCAAGAATTTCATCTGGTGGGGAGGAGTCTGGGATGGGGGGAGGGGTTGATGATGGAGGCAGGTCATCATCATCCTCTAATGTAGTGCTGGACTTGAGGAACGACTGTGGTTTACGTGGAACAGGCGTGGGTTTTGGCACGATGGCAGGTTTTGTGGGAATCGGAGGTTTTGGCTTGTTGGAGGACACTTTTCTGGTCCGAGGCTGTCCAGATTCTTGGACATCAGATTTGGAATCACTAGACTCGGAGTCGGATCTGACCCGCGACGTCAGGTCAAGTTGAGGAATGTTTACACGGACACTAGCTTTCGTTTGTTTTCCTTCCCCACTAACTTCCCCATTTTGGACACGTGGGTCATCGTCATCATCAGATATGCTTTCTACGAAATTCTGTTTTTTAGAACTGCTAGGTTCAGAATCATCTAATGCATCCATTGATCGTGACTTCTGGGGCAGACCTTGATGTTTGTGCTTCTTCCAATCGAAGAAACTATCCGCAACATCCGACTTTTGTTCTCGCACTTCCCAGGACCTCCGTTTAGCTTGGAAGTCCGACTTGTTATCATGCTTCCAGTATTTATCCGCCTTCAGCAAAGCTGCCTGTATTTCTTCACGACTAACTCTCTTGCCATCAGCTACTGCCGAAGAACTGTCATCTTTACGTTTACGACGTAGCACTACTCCACCTGATCTCGAATCACTATCACTGGAAGGCTTATCGTTACTAGCCAATGAATCTGAATTATCATGTGATCCAGATCTACTCCTCGTATCGTCTCTGCTCTGTCGTGTCCGGCCGGAGTATCCGGACTGTACTGACAGGTCATAGTTTCGGGAATGGTTTTTATCCGTGTCACTAGATTCTGTCTGCATAGGTTTTTCCTCTTTGCGATACCTACTCACACCGTACTTGTGTTCATCATTACTTGCATCCGAATGTTGTCGCCGTTTCCATAACAACCCACCAGGGGCATTACTGTGTAGAGGAAGCGACGGCTTTGGAGCAGACTTCTCAGTTCGTATCACATCTTGTTGAAAGGCTAGATTGTTTGGTCTCTGATCAGCACGAGAACGTCGTCCAAAACCATGCGATGTCGGAACAGAATCGTCCCTGTCTGCAGGTTCTGAGGATGAACGACGTTTACCTACAGTTTCAAGAGGTTCGGAATGTGAATTAATAAGAACATCCTCAGAAGGGGAGCGAACTCTACCTTCCGGACTGGATGGAGAACTCAATGTAGGAGAAAGAATTGGGGATGGAGAAGTAGTTCTTGGCGAAGTTTTCCTTGCTAGATATCGATCAGGTTCCAGTGTGTTAGCGCGTGCCTGTTGGTCTAATCGTGCGAACAGTGCACGAGTATAGTTAAACCTATCTACATGATTCGTCGCATCTAGTAGCTTCTTCGGATCGGAAGACCTTGGGGGAGACAAAGCCTTACCTGCTCTGATACTCGAAAGATCAAAAGTTTTTTTCTTTTTTATTTCTGGGGACTTTTCGGGAACTGGGGGTGGATGTCGAGTCGGGTTGCTTTTTGTCTCTCCTGCCTTCACATCATCTCCTGTCTGGAACATCTCCTTAATTTTGCTGACGTTGGATCGAAATTTAACGTGGGATCGTCCAATTCCATCACCGTTATTGAACACATTTTCGTTGACGATTGGAGCAGATTTCACACTCTCCTGGGTCTCCATCTCATCTTTTACGCTGGGCGGTAGATTTTCTACTTCATCAACCACACTTCCACTTCTACGCCGACTTGCCCTCAACACGTCGTAACGACTGTCCTGGTTCCGTGCCATCCTGCCATTGATAACAGATGAGATGACGATGATAAACAAAGTTGTATTTTCATATGAAGAAGAAAAGGTACAGAAATATGCAGAATACAACTTTTTTTGCGACAACACTACTCGACTATGTCACTTTCTAAACACATTCTTTATACACTTCGGTAGAAATGCTCCAAGTTAGAAAATCACAATCCAGTTTTAACACGATTTGGAATTCTGAGAATAAGCTTGAATATGTGGCGACTTGACGTTTGAAGAGTTTGAGCTCGGCGACATTAGGGCAAGGAGAGTCCGGTGGATAAAAGGGAGGATATGATTGGATACCGTAGGATGGTTGTTATGGTTACTCCATCCTGTCTTCTTCAACACCAGGATGCCATTATGGATGTGAACCTCCTGGTTGAGTAATCTGAAAACAGAAAACATTAACAGATACTAAAGGCAAAGAATGGTATGCAAAGAAGATGGTCCAAATATTTAATGAAGGCAAAACAAATCTGTTTCCCGAAAATTTTATTGTATATTTTTTTAGTAAGGTTTATAGTTATTTTTAACAAGTCCTTCCTTGAGATTTACTTTAAAACTAGAAAATGTCTGTAAGACATAAATGCCCCTGCTCATGGATGGGACGAGACGGGACGGACATGGGCAGCACTGTATGTCCCACCCATTTCATTGCGGGGGAATAAAAAGTTTAGGGGAGGCAAAGAAAATTAGGGTATACATAAACATGTACGTAGGGTTACTGAAAACAAAAAATATTTTGGCCTTAATATTTCACATAGTTACTCTGTATTTCTGAGAACAATGACTCATTAATTAGTTTGAAAAGAAAATCTGAAAATCACATGGAAGGCAAACTGAAATTGAGTCTGATAATTAAGAGGATAACTGGAGAAGAAATGGATAAAGTCATTAGGCAGTATATAGATTAAACAATGATTACTTATGAATGGGTGTATATTTCATAATCCCCCCCACCCACAGGTCCTTATTTACACATCCCCCCACCCACAGGTCCTTATTTACACATCCCCCCCAACCACAGGTCCTTATTTACACATCTCCTCACCCACAGGTCCTTATTTACACATCCCCCCACCCACAGGGCCTTATTTACACATCCCCCCACCCATAGGTCCTTATTTACACATCCCCCCACCCACAGGGCCTTATTTACACATCCCCCCACCCATAGGTCCTTATTTATACATCCTCCCACCCACAGGTCCTTATTTACACATCACCCCCCCCACAGGTCCTTATTTACACATCACCCCACCCACAGGTCCTTCTTTACACATCCCCCCACCCACAGGTCCTTATTTACACCCCCCCCCCACAGGTCCTTATTTACACATCCCCCCACCCATAGGTCCTTATTTACACATCCCCCCACCCACAGGGCCTTATTTACACATCCCCCCCACCCACAGGTCCTTATTCACACATCTCCTCACCCACAGGTCCTTATTTACACATCCCCCCCACCCCCAGGTCCTTATTTACACATCTCCTCACCCACAGGTCCTTATTTACACATCCCCCCCAACCACAGGTCCTTATTTACACATCTCCTCACCCAGAGGTCCTTATTTACACATCCCCCCCCCCACAGGTCCTTATTTACACATCCTCCCACCCACATGTCCTTATTTACACATCCTCCCACCCACAGGTCCTTATTTACACATCACCCCACCCACAGGTCCTTATTTACACATCCCCCCACCCACAGGGCCTTATTTACACATCCCCCCACCCATAGGTCCTTATTTATACATCCTCCCACCCACAGGTCCTTATTTACACATCCCCCGCCCACAGGTCCTTATTTACACATCCCCCCACCCACATGTCCTTATTTACACATCCCCCCACCCACAGGTCCTTATTTACCCATCCCCCCCACCCACAGGTCCTTATTTACACATCCTCCCACCCACAGGTCCTTATTTACACACACCCACCCACAGGTCCTTATTTACACATCCCCCCCCCCACAGGTCCTTATTTACACATCTCCCCACCCACAGGTCCTTATTTACACATCCTCCCACCCACAGGTCCTTATTTACACATCCCCCCCCCCACAGGTCCTTATTTACACATCTCCCCACCCACAGGTCCTTATTTACACATCCCCCCATCCACAGGTCCTTATTTACACTTCCTCCCACCCACAGGTCCTTATTTACACATCCCCCCCCCCCACAGGTCCTTATTTACACATCTCCCCACCCACAGGTCCTTATTTACACATCCCCCCATCCACAGGTCCTTATTTACACTTCCTCCCACCCACAGGTCCTTATTTACACATCCCCCGCCCACAGGTCCTTATTTACACATCCCCCCACCCACAGGGCCTTATTTACACATCCCCCCACCCATAGGTCCTTATTTATACATCCTCCCACCCACAGGTCCTTATTTACACATCTCCTCACCCAGAGGTCCTTATTTACACATCCCCCCACCCACAGGGCCTTATTTACACATCCCCCCACCCATAGGTCCTTATTTATACATCCTCCCACCCACAGGTCCTTATTTACACATCCCCCGCCCACAGGTCCTTATTTACACATCCCCCCACCCACAGGGCCTTATTTACACATCCCCCCCACCCACAGGTCCTTATTTACACATCTCCTCACCCACAGGTCCTTATTTACACATCATCCCCCCACCCACAGGTCCTTATTTACACATCTCCTCACCCATTTACACATCCCCCCACCCACAGGTCCTTATTTACACATCTCCTCACCCAGAGGTCCTTATTTACACATCCCCCCCACCCACAGGTCCTTATTTACACATCTCCTCACCCACAGGTCCTTATTTACACATCCCCCCCACCCACAGGTCCTTATTTACACATCACCCCACCCACAGGTCCTTATTTACACATCACCCCACCCACAGGTCCTTATTTACACATCACCCCACCCACAGGTCCTTATTTACACATCCCCCCACCCACAGGTCCTTATTTACACATCACCCCACCCACAGGTCCTTATTTACACATCACCCCACCCACAGGTCCTTATTTACACATCACCCCACCCACAGGTCCTTATTTACACATCCCCCCACCCAAAGGTCCTTATTTACACATCCCCCACCCAAAGGTCCTTATTTACACATCCCCCACCCAAAGGTCCTTATTTACACATCCCCCACCCAAAGGTCCTTATTTACACATCCCCCACCCAAAGGTCCTTATTTACACATCCCCCACCCAAAGGTCCTTATTTACACATCCCCCACCCAAAGGTCCTTATTTACACATCCCCCCACCCACAGGTCCTTATTTACACATCCCCCCACCCACAGGTCCTTATTTACACATCCCCCCACCCACAGGTCCTTATTTACACATCCCCCCACCCACAGGTCCTTATTTACACATCCCCCCACCCACAGGTCCTTATTTACACATCCCCCCACCCACAGGTCCTTATTTACACATCCCCCCACCCACAGGTCCTTATTTACACATCCCCCCACCCACAGGTCCTTATTTACACATCCCCCCACCCACAGGTCCTTATTTACACATCCCCCCACCCACAGGTCCTTATTTACACATCCCCCCACCCACAGGTCCTTATTTACACATCCCCCCACCCACAGGTCCTTATTTACACATCCCCCCACCCACAGGTCCTTATTTACACATCCCCCCACCCACAGGTCCTTATTTACACATCCCCCCACCCACAGGTCCTTATTTACACATCCCCCCACCCACAGGTCCTTATTTACACATCCCCCCACCCACAGGTCCTTATTTACACATCCCCCCACCCACAGGTCCTTATTTACACATCCCCCCACCCACAGGTCCTTATTTACACATCCCCCCACCCACAGGTCCTTATTTACACATCCCCCCACCCACAGGTCCTTCATTTTAATTTAAAATCTTTCTGATAGAAATGTGGTTGGAATTATCAGAATGGGATCTGGATACAAACAGTTCCTTTTCCTATTTAGGTAGAATAAAATACAATATAAGGTGGGTTTTTTCACACAATCTTGCTGAAACGTCATCATCTATATAAAATACATATATGTGTATGTGTTATGAAGCTGCTAATTAGTATTATACTGAGGCAAAACATGTATTTAAAACAAGAAAAAAAAATGTTGGATTGTTTCACTTGAGGAATACTGAATTACTGCAGGGCCACTGAACATGTGTACGGCATCTAACTCATTCTACCCTGAAGACAAATTTGAAATCTTCCAACTCAGAGGATGGAATAGTTGATTTTGAAATTTTAGGGGTGAATGAGTTAAGGATCCCCGTACCACTGCCAAAAACTGTAACTAGACATTGGAAACTGTTATCCAGCGTGACTATATGGCTTTGATAAATCATTTCTGAAGAGAAAACCTAATACCTTACAGGACTTTTATGAAAAAACAGCAACGCTGAAATTAGCAAAAGATAATCAACAAAACCAACTGGAGTTAAAAATTCAGCGGGACTACACTAGAACAAGGTTCGAACCCTGAACCCAATATTGTTATAGTAACTAACCGACTGAGCTACCTTGTCAACAGAATGTCCTCGCCCAACTGTGCTAACCCTGAACCCACTATTGTTATAGTGTCTAACCGACTGAGCTACCTTGTCAACAGAATGTCCTCGCCCAACTGTGCTAACCCTGAACCCACTATTGTTATAGTGTCTAACCGACTGAGCTACCTTGTCAACAGAATGTCCTCACCCAACTGTGCTACATGTACAGGTATATTCAAAATGAAACAGAGGGGAGGTTATATAGTTTCTGTATGTATATACCAAATCCCAAAGTGTGTCGGGACAGGGATCCTTAAAGCCTGAAAGCTTATAAACACACCAACCATCTCTTTTGATGTCAAGTGTGCTCGTCCAGTATCTCACCTGGGCGTATATAACGATCACTATAGCTAGGAGACCGTATCTCGTTAAGGTGTGAGCACCCCTGACCCAGGTGAATCAACTTACAGCCGGTCAAACACCAAAGTAAAAGTGTGTGACACCTGCAGCAAATGAGAATACACAGGTAACACATTTACCTGTATATATATATACATATATAGGGATCATCACCTGATGTCTTACCTGTAGCTATCTCACCTGGCACCCACACAGGTAACAGGTGACCGTACCACTAGACATATATATAGACACTATCAGATTATTTTATCACTAGCCTGATATTTTTATAGGTACTTCATTTCTATTATATATGTATTGACATTTTCTGATGCAAGGGAGATAACTAGACATTTCTTAAATATTTATAAACCAGACATAACATTCAAAAACACAACCTGTGTGTGAACGTCAATATTTTTATGCTTTAGTTTTTAAAAGTTCTGCGACTACATAGATTTAATTAATAC